AGAAGAAAATGTGAACTCAGTCGAAGTAATGCACGAACTATAATGAGGTTATATTGGATTACTGTCTGTGTTTCTCGACTGTTAATGTACACAGTTAACATTTCCAGCCACTAACTTCGGTATTTACAATGCATTATGCATGAAGCATAATAATGAGCTCTAGTTAAAATATGTTTTTCAATATACTTAAAGTCAATAATGGTACTTATCCTAATAAAACTACAGTAAGATTTATTTGCTTTGTAACTGTGAATTCAAAAACATTAAAATACAATAGACTTATCATGATGTATGGACGTATGATAAATCTATTGTGTTTTAGTTTTTTACTCGTCTAAAAGCTTGGAAACATTTGGTTCGATTTAAAAACGCGGGTGACACAAGTAACGCGGGTGAAGTCGCGGAATATCTCCTAGTGTCCTAGTATATGAAGATTTTATATCACTGTTTTCATATAAATGTAACTCACACAAAATCTTATTGACGTAAGTTAGACTTACGTGTTAAAATAAAAGTTAAATCTAGTTTACTTCAAACTATTTGTGTGTGTTTATATATGAATGTAGATTAACAAAAATTAATTTTGCAACAGAATCGAATTTATCAAAATTTAAAATTGCATGTTCTATTAATATAAATATAAAACAATATCAAGCGAAAATTCGCCGAAAAGAAAAAAGAAAATTAAATGTGAAGTTTGATTGTCGAATGCAAGTGTATTTTATCACTAAGCTACCTTATTAAGTACTGGCCACTTTGCAAGAAAATGTCCATATGTGAATGCACTTGCATCTACTTGGCTTGTAGAGTTGCCAGTATTAAATTCACTTATGACACATATTCTGATTCCAATATGATATAATCGATACTCCAGCAACTAAAGAAGAACTATAAAAAAGATATGATGTGTTTTTGTACAGCTTAAAAAAGACATCAAGAAAATTACGAGAAAAAGAGTAATAAACTGATTCTGTTTGCATATAAATGATCAAGGACAAATTTCGGCAGGCTTTTGTTATTAATCTGCTGAATAGAAGATAAAAGAAAACACATTTCACATTTTAACTCGCTAAAATCAGGCCAATCACATTAAGGTTACATCGTAATACAATGTAAAATCAAAATTACATACTTCGATAGGCACTCTTTCGAGCTTTACTGAAAACTAGATGAATGCCTACACAGATGTAATCACCTGGTTGGATACATATATTTAAAGGTATATACTAAATGTGCGGACAAAGTTTCTTATATAAATACATATATTTACTGAAACCTACTAATAAAACAAAATGAATAACTTTTAAAACCAAAACGAGCATACATATTAAAATATACGAGGGTCAAACTGAAAGTTCTTAGAACTGGCCACTTATAAACAATATAATAAAAAAATAATTCTAAAATTTGAAAATATAACTCTTTGCCAATATTACTGAGTATATATTTCATTCATTTGTCATTTGTTTACGATTTGGCGGCAAATTGAAAATTGTCTGTGTCACGTCATCATGAATTTAACACGAGAAAATTTTCGTGCAATGATTTTTTATGACTTTCGATGTCATTTAAGTCAACAAGAAAGTTATGATAGACTACGATTGGCCTTTCACGATGAAGCCCCATCTCGTGCGACTGTTTACAACTGGTTTAATGAGTTTAAACGTGGTCGCACTAATCTCACTGATGATTTACGTGAGGGACGGCCTTCTACGGCGACGACTGAAGATAACATCTGTGTTGTGCGGCGTATGATAGAGACTGACAAAAGAGTGACCTATCAACAGATTCGGACAAGCTTAGGCATCGGTATGAGTCAAGTGCACAAAATCCTCCACGAACATTTAGCGGTCAGGAAGCTTTGCGCCCGGTGGATACCTCATAATTTGACTGAGGCTCAAAAACTCCATCGTGTGGATTGGTGTCGTAAAATGATTGAAAGATTTAACGGAGGTGACTCAAATGCTGTGTTCGACATACTAACAGGTGACGAAAGCTGGATTTACTGTTATGATCCTAAAACCAAAAGACAATCTGCTCAGTGGGTGTTTCCTTTCGAGGAGTTGCCAACTAAAGTGAAGAGAGATCGAAGTGCGGGAAAAAAAATGGTGGCCTCGTTCTTTGGAAGGATAGGTCATTTTGCAACAATTGTGTTAGAGGATCAAAAAACAGTTTCTGCAGAATGGTACACTACCAATTGTTTGCCACTTGTCTTGGAAAAAGTTCGAGAGAAACGACCTCGCAGTAGGATCCTCCTTCACCACGACAACGCCTCGTCGCACACCGCCAAGCGAACGATCGACTATTTGGCGACATCAAACGTTGAATTACTGGGTCACCCGCCGTATAGCCCCGACCTCGCGCCTTGTGATTTTTATTTATTTCCAAAAATTAAAGAAAAACTTAAAGGAAAGCGGTTTATGAATGCTGAAGAAGCGGTGGCTGCGTATCGCGATGCCATTGAAGAGACCCCTAAGGACGAGTGGGCAAAGTGCTTTTCCCAGTGGTTCCATCGCATGCAGCGGTGTATTGACGTGAATGGACAATATTTTGAAAAGATATAATAAAACTAATAACTGGCTAATGTAATCAGTTTTTGATTTTCTAAGAACTTTCAGTTTGACCCTCGTATTACATACCATTGATTTATTTATAAAGAAATTATAATGGTGCGATCATACCAAGTTTATCTTGCATTGGCTGTATTAGTTGATTCGTATTACAAGACATCAACAAAACAAAAATGCTTTGTTTCGTATATAATATCGTTAATCCACAATAGTTTTACTACCATGCACTCTATTTTCCAATTTACTATCGAACGTTTGCTTTTTTCTACTATTTTTAATCCAACATGGAAACTCACTATTGTTGATTGCCTCTCTCGACTGCAGTGAGAGGCATCAACCACTCACCACTAGGTAATATCGAGAATGACAGAATAAAACTCAATCCCAAAACAACAATTTTTATTATTAGTAGGGTTATATTGAGGGTATAATAGTTATTTAGTAGGGTCAAAGCGCCGCGGCCCGTGATCGTTGTTGTTAAGCAATTTTCGCAATGGTTGGTCATGGGATTGGACCGCGAATTATCTCGAGCTACACCGTGCTTCGTAGGGCACGTTGAGACGCTGTATAAGAAATCGTAAATACCCTCTAATCATCATAGTACATCTTCCTTAATCATCCATAAGCAAGACCTGAACTCCTGCATTGGGGACGTAAAAAGGTTGATGATGATGATTACGAAGGTCATATTAAACATTCTGTCGATATGTGTAAGAAACAAAACTCGCGGGTTTTGCTTTAATTAAGAACTTATAATCTTTATGGTATTATAAAGCAAAAATGTACTTACTTGTTACTTTTCATGTACTTACTTGTTATCTTAATCAAAAAATTGTTTGTTTTGATTACAATAGTTTATCAGTGTATGTGTCTTACGAAAAAAACTTCAACATTTCGCAGTATATTGAAGCTCAGCAAAAGCAGTATCATGCGAAAAGAAGTGTGAAAAGTTGAGATTTTAAACGAGTGATAGAAAAATAGAACTCTAGAATTGCACTATCTATCTTACTTACCTACGTACTACCGATTATATATTTTATACATAGGTACTTGTCTCATTTATCTTCAACGTCCTGCGAAATGTTGAATTTTGTTCGTATTGCACAAAAACTGACTAACTGTTTTTTTCAATTCATTTCGTGACACGGATATAATTACAATGACAAAATGAATTAAACAATGGTAATGTTTTAATTCCCTACACAATCTTCCACTCCCATTTTCATCCTATAATTTGCTGTTTTTCGAGTTAAAATATAGCCTATGATTACCGCATATGATGTAATTTCCCATAAGTGAACGATTCGTCGAAATCGAATCTTATCAACAAAGAAATAATCAAATCTTTCCTCTCTATAATATTGTATAGATAATCGTGAAACTATGATATTTAGCAACTTCCACTCCCAGTTAGTATAGGCAAGACCTAATATGTACCGTCTGTACACAAATTCACGTTTACAATCGGAAATTAATCTCGCGAAAACCACCACGTATTGGTTAAATAAGCGAATCAGATTGGGAAACTTTCATAATCATCAAAAACATTGTAGACGTTTTATTTTTTAGTTTTGATCGAATTCACCGAACAACTTTACTTTACCACAGTACTAATGGAACACAGTATATTTAAAATCTGCTAGGCATTGTCTATTTTAAAAGTCTCTATCATATTACTTTAATTCAGACTGAAGAATCACATTGTAATTAATTAACTAGATATATATGAGTATAAATCTCAAGTAAGCTACACATTTGTAGAGCCCGTTTTGTGCCGTTTGGTCTTTCTTTTGCTTCGTCATCATCATCAGCCCTTTCACGTCCCCACTGCAGGGGCTAAGCCTTCCTTATGGATGGTTAAGGAGGATGGGCCATGACCCTCCACGCTAGCCCAATGCTGAGTGGAGGGTAATATCCCACGGTTAAACGTACTTTCCGAAGCACGGAGTAGCTCGAGATAATAATTTTTTGGTCACCCATCCCGTGACCGACCCTTGCGAAAGTTGCTTAACGACAACGATCGCGGCCGCGGCGCTTATCCACTACGCCACCGAGCTACTCTCTCTTTTGCCTGCCCCGTGGATAATCGTACAGGAATAAAATATGAAACAAGAATCAAAGCCGTAGTTACTATGTAAAATACTTGATATGACAAAGAATAAAAATCTTGTCAAAACAGACGACTGTTATTTAATATTCCTGTAGATTTATGTCACAATTTTCGTATCTCATTGCGCCGTCATATAAACAATATTCTCGACAAGATTCCGTTAACTCAGCAAATGTAATTTCCGAGAGTATTGTAATTTACCTTGTTATCTGACAACTGTAGACTTATTTGATATACGTTTTATGATACAAAAATTAATTATTTTAATTTTGATATACGTTTTATGATACAAAAATAAATTATTTTAATTTTGACAATGTATGTTTGGAAAAGGTAAACGATTGTTTTATCTCTCTAAATTTCCATTAGACTCTTATATGGATAGAAACGAGAACGGGCCATAAACAGCCATGCTGGTTTGTAAAAATTATATAAAAAAATAAGGTTAATAAAACCATTGACTTTTGTACGTCTTTGTCCAGTGACATATATATATTTTTAACCGACTTCATTTATATAACATAAATCAATAACTAAACAGTTACAATACAAAACTGGTCACGTGGAGGGTGGTGAAACTAACGCCTTATTGTGACGATAATAAATATTAGATTACCCATTCTATGACCACTAGCAACTATCGTTTAACCATCTTATTACCTTATAATAAACCAACTCGTTAATCCCAGCGTCATTGATCCCCTTTTTAAGTATCTTTTACAGTATGAATAAAATAATACCTCTTTTTCAGGTAAACCCCCGGATTTCCTGGCTTTCTCGATTACTGTACTGATGATGATGGTGTTAGTCGCTGGCGTGAAGAAGTCGCTGTTTTTCAATAACGTGCTGAACGCGATCAACCTCAGCGTGTGGGTTTTCATAATGGCCGCTGGTTTGTTCTACGTCAACATTCACAATTGGACTGACCATAGAGGATTTCTACCTTACGGCTGGAGCGGGGTAAGTACTCGTCGAACTTGCGAACTGATTAATTCTATTATTTGGTACAGATGAGGGATTTCCAATAATTTGAATCGATGGCACAGATAGTAGACTGCAAAAGCTAATATAATTAATGATTGGTTTAAAAAAAGTTGTTCCACCTCCAGAGTCTACTTTAGATAACTATTATAACGCATTTTTTAAACTATATGAAAGTCAAAATGGTATCACTAAGTATTATTATGATATTAATAATTAATTGTCTATGAACAGTTTGTCCTAGGTGAGCACAGCAATTTTGATACATTTCCCTACACTCTTTATGTTAATTCAAAATTTTTGACAAACATAATGCTCGGTGAAACGTATATTTTGCAGTGATATATTAATATTTAATATTTAGTAATTCTTCATTATGTCATATAATTAACTTTTCAATGTTATTTTTGAATTGATAATAAAAGATGTCATTCATTTTTTTGTCAAACGAAGATATAAAGATAAGAAGTATAAAAGGGTCGTTTCTCGATTTAGATAATGAAATGTGATTTATTTAGCTTTAAAAATCTAATTTTCATTAGTGTCAAGTGTCCCACCCATAACATATAAACCAGAGATTACAAATATTTAAAGTACAAAGTACATATAAAATACAAAAACGTTTAAAAAACAAAGAAGATATAAATGTAATCGATTTCTTTGCTGTTTGATTAATCGTGATTTTGAATTCACAATGTTATATGATAATTGTTTAATTTATATATTCGATGATATTAAATATTTAAAAAATATTTATTTCAACTATGTCTAAAACTATACTATATAAATTATAAATAATATTTAAAAAAATGCTCATACATTCATAAGTCGTGTTAATTATTTAGACCAGTTGCCTGGACTGTGAAAAGTTTATATAATATTTTTTACTTTGCAGTTTTTTTTTATACTAAATACTTGTAACCATTTTATTAAAAGTGTTTTAGCTAAAGTAGCAAAATAATATTACAGTTTCTCACAAAATGTCGCTTTGCTATGTTGTCAAGTAGAATATTATTATAATGAAGCGATAGGATCTCGTTCCTGAGACATTCAGACAGTTGAAACTATGAACATTATTTATTGCTGTCTCGTAAGAAACAGTAATAAAACCAGCATTATCGGGCTGCGCATTCGCTAGAGAACAAGACAAGGCTTCTTAGTTTGACTTGTCTGATTAAAAAATCTGAACGGAAAAATTCTTACTCGGTTCTCTACTGTGGTTTTCTGTTTATCATATTTGTATGGAATATTCGGTGCGCAAGCTTTTATAATAGCTGATTGGCATCATCAGAAATATTATTAATGTATTAAATGTGTCACATTTCTTTAATTTTAACGTCGATGAACGTCCACGAGTAGGTTACTATTCGTGGACTTTCATCAATGTTAACCCTTTGCCTAACATCTCACTTTTATTTGTCGTCTTAAATCGTAAATTTTAAGAATTTATTCCTTAAGCCTCCATTACGACAAATAACAAAAATAACTTTTATTAGTATATAACAAATAAATACTGGAAGATAGTGGAAGAAAATTTATGGGCTTTCATTGGTACTTATTGATTATTAAACTTTAAAAAACATAAAACGTGCTTTACCGATTCGTTAATTTTTTATTTTTATTTAAAAGAGTATTTGTTTCCAGGTATTCAGTGGGGCCGCAACGTGTTTCTACGCATTTATCGGTTTCGACATCATCGCTACTACCGGTGAAGAAGCTAACAATCCCAAACGGTCCATTCCTCTTGCCATCGTATTGAGTCTCGCCATCATTCTCATAGCTTACGTTAGCAGCTCCATGATACTGACACTAGTTGGTAAGTGAATATACAGGATATTTAGTATAGATATTGTACTACCGGTGAAGATATCATTATCCCAAGCGGTCTATCTAAATTCCCATCTATCTTTAAGAATATGTCAGCAGCTATACTAGTGATCTGAGTTGGCAAGTTTACCCTAAACGCATCGAACAGGCATGACACGTTGTTGTATATGTTGTAAAATATGGAATATCGTTCAATACTGTAATAATCTGGCACATTTTTGTCACCAGCTCTTCATCGGTAAAATAAATTTAAGGTCCAAGTGTAGTTCAAAAATTGATTTCAGTTTGACGTTATGCCATAATCTGCAGGCCAATTCTGTAATATTTACGTAATAAACACATCTCAATAGAATTTCGACGACTTTCATTTTGTCCTTGTACTATTATCTACCGATAATACATGGCAAAATGCAAATGGTCGAGATTCTACTGAGATGCGATTATTTGTTGGAGGTTTTGTGAGCCGGCTCTTTGTCGACAGTGCCGTACGATCAAGTGGATACCGACTCCGCACTGGTACAGATGTTTTCCTACGTGAATGCTCCAACGTGCAAGTACATCGTAGCGTTGGGCGCGTTAGCTGGCCTCACTGTGTCTATGTTCGGCTCCATGTTCCCGATGCCGCGTGTGGTCTACGCCATGGCTTTGGACGGACTCATCTTCAAGTTAGTATAATATTCACATTCTTTTATCCCTTAAATGTGACGTTTTGGCTTTGACACTTTAATAAATCAAAATAATAATAGCTCCTCCTCCATAATAGGCCCTCCTGACCCTTCCATAAGGAAAGCCTCAGACCCTGCAGTGGGGACGTCAAACAGCTGATGGTGAATAATAGCTACAATACAAAGAGCAAAATTTTATATATAACTAACTTAACTTTTGAGTTATGAGGTGGATCTGGAGTAAGACTGTATTCTTCTCACTATTCTTGCGATACTTACGACTAAAATTCCTATTTAAAGTGAAAATCTAAAATTATGGTACCATGCAGAATATTTGTATTAAAGCCGCTTTAACATTCATTTAATATGTATCTCCGCCATCGCGGTGCTAGTTTCGCTTAACGATAAATGCATTTCGAATAGAAGGATTAAAGTTCGTAGATATGAATGCGCTTTTGTATCTCGTAGCCAGACAATCGCCGACTAAATGACGTCGTCGTCTATTCATGAAAAGACATACAATCTGTAGATACTAGTTGAAAGATACAAAACACATTTCCAGTCTAGCGTCTACTTAGTGACTTCGTTTTCCACTGAACATAATACAAGCTGTCTAAGTGAACACGGAATGAAACGTTATGAAAACACCAGTTAAAAATTGTTTTATTTGAGGTGCGCGTGAAAATATTTGAAAAAAAAAGTATAATATAACGAAATTAACATAAACGAAATAGGCGTATCTTATTGGTTTTACTGTATTTACCTGAATTAAGGCTAAATACAAGAAGATCAATATTTTCAAAACGATGTATATCTCCGGATTAGGGTTGTTTTAAGTTCCCCCTCTTAGGAGTATATTAGCGTCGTTTTAAATATTCAAGCTGAATGAATTAACAGCCAGCCACACCTATGGCAAATGGGATTTGTGCGTGCGTGTTACGCTGGTGAAATTTCGGAGTTTGCTTAATATAAATGTTTGTTTAAAACGTTTCGGAAGGCAACGTTCCGTAATGTTGATAACATATGTAGTTTATAGATTCTTATTCTATCCTACTCCAAACGAAAAGCATTTAAATAAATTAATAAAAAGCTTTTTATAAAAAAAAATTATAGTAATTACGCAATTAGTGCCTTCGATACTAATCCATCAGATCAAAATTAACCTCCTCTGAGCAGTTCCTCGATGCTTGGGCGTCACCTCTCCTGATTGTCCACCCAATGATCATAGATATTTCGCTGCTTTAAAAGATGTATATAATATACAAAACAAATCTTTGGTATAACGCCCAAATAGTGTTAAAATCTTGCAATTTAACGAGACATATTTTATATTGGAGATATTTAAAATTTTAAGGTGACATTTACAACAAACCATTTAGATCCATCATTATTTATATTTAAGAAGTTTTAAATAGTTTTTTGTGTTGTAAAACTACATGTAACAAATTATTACCTAAATAATGGGTTGAATCAGTGTGGGTATGTTTGTAGCAAACATTCTTCAACATATTGTAACAAATGTAATATAATGATTTATTACTGCAGTGTAAATATACAATTCTCTAAATTACTGCAAGATTATGAAATCAGCGTGAAAGGTCGCGATCATGGTCATCTAATTCTACGATTATTTTAATCAAATAATTAAATCAAATAGGTTAAACATACTATATCTATAATATAATAATCAATTTTATACAATGTCATTACGATAAAAAATAAATGAAACTACATAATAATACTCCACGCCCTTTGACTTTCCATCAGACAATAGAGTTTCAGTAGAAAATTGAATGGAGCATACGAGAATTTCAATGAATGATTCGAATTTATATGGAAATCGGTAGCACAAATCAAATGTACAAAAATACCGCTGAAGGCCGTTAGCATTTCAAGTAAATACTTTTATTAAAAACGTGACTGAATTTATTTTTACAGAAATAAATCCAGCATGGTTCCAGTTAACTGTTTATTAAATATTTTCGAAACAACAAAAAGTTACTTACCTTTATATTTTTTTAAAGATACCTATTTTCAAGATTCTTAAATTCATACAAATAGTAGGTTATTATCTTTTGCCCGTTGCTGTAAATCGGAATCACGTTTTTTTTCTTTTCAACCTTTTAACGTCGGAGATGAAGAAGAAAAAACAGATAAGTCTCAGGAATAAATGGGAATACCTGCGTTAATATCTATGTCCCTTACCAAATTTGTCAGTATATTTAGTTTATACATCTACTACACAAATAAATAAATACTCTGTAACTCTCCCTCTTGTTGGTTTGCTGTATTCGTATAATGGCTATTAGCAATATCTGTTTGGATACCTTAGTAACTATTTCAAGTAAAAAACGTGAAAATCACAATCGTCAATTCTTAATGATTAAAGATTTATCATATAACGCCGTTTATAGAGTATTATCGATTTACAATGATAAGTTCTTTCTAGTGAACTAGAAAACGAATTAGCTGATTGCGCTTCAAAGTAAAAGAAAATATTGGAAGCGCTCGCCAAAGAAGCCACGCTAATCATAAGATCTTTTTTTAAGACGCTGAATAGTGCCAAATCGGTAAAATTGATCTTGGATTGTACTAATTCACGGGAAACCTATGGCAATCCAAAAATTTGTGGTTATACTTGATCGTATTTCTGATCTTGTGGTTGAAACCGAAACATGATTGTATTAACTTCACTCGATAGAAAATAATTCCAAAGTAGCATCTAAAAATATTGCGAAAGGCTCTTTTCTCAATTATGTGATACATTAGAGTAATGATATTGAGTACAAATATGTATCAAAGGTTAATATAAAAGTTGGTTATTCCCAATTTTTGATAATGTTATTATAATAATTATTATAATTTATTTTGTGATATGGCACATATGGTCATTTTTTTCAAGCAACTTTAAAGTATTGACATTTCTGTCACTCCTACTGCAATTGACAGGGAAGGCTATAGAATAACGCACACTAACTTAGTTCACGCTGAGGCGTGTTGCTAGATGGACCTATGTTGCTTTGTGCAGCGTTCTGACGTACCGAGATCGCTAAAATTGTAAAAAAAAGAACATTTAAAATAAGTATTTGAATTTCGCCCTCATTTAAACAATATATTTGGTGTAATGTACGAGGGAAGGGACCCGAGTGTCTCGAAGTTGTAAGTTCTAATCCCACCAGAGCTCGCATTTTTTCAAGTCGTTTTTTTATTATTTTATTCTAATTTTCATTTTTTTTCTGCCATAATTTTAAAAAGCAACTTTTTTTTATATTATTAAACAGTATAAAATGTGAAAATAAATATTTCTTTAGTATGACGTAGGCGAAAGTCAGACTGACATTTTCATACAAAACCCCGATATTGATGAAATAGTTCCAATAAAATACATGTTCGTGTTCCAATCCCATCAAAGAAGCATTTTTGTTTTACTTTTATCTTCTTTTTCCTAATATATTTTCCTCTCTCATTTTTTTATAGGTATATGTTATTCATTAATAATTCGTTAAAATAATTTTGAATATTATTTTATACAGTAATTAAGTATTATTTAATTATCTAGTCTAGTTGATAAATTTAATTGCTGTAAAAATATATAACATAAAATTTGACAATAGGTAAATATTTCCATAAAAGTATGTGTTTGCAAAAGTTTGACATTTTCATGCAAAAACCATCCCGTAGACCGTTACTCTAGTAAAAAATAATTCCTAATCAATCATATTGTGTAAATAAAATAGTTCAATAAATAGGTATTACTTTATAAAACAAATATAAAAAAGGGAATTAGTTACTATTGAATGAATTTGAAAATTATGGTAACAGTGTACTAAATAATAATGTACAGGTTTTTCACAAACTTTACTAGTGTTTGGTGTGGCGCAATGTCCTATGTGCTGGTCACTAGGTACTCATTGTGCCGCAGATCAAAACCAAGTTTCATGTTTTTTTTTTGTATCTTAATTTTTTTACCCAATATTTTTATTATGAGAAATATAATATTAAAAATTATTTATGTGTTTATACTTAAATATAAATTATTATATTTAATAATTGTATAGATATTATTTTTGAAATTTTCATGGAAAAACGACTGGATAAATTTCACGGTAATTTGATACAAAATACCTCTAGATATCCTTTATTGGTTTGCAAACTATTGCAGTACGCAACAGGCGTAGCCATACAATTACTGATAATGAAAAACGAAGATTTTTCTGTGAGGTAAATGTACAGTGTTCCGGACTAGTACACAATTTTAAACGATACTCAATAGACTATAGTTGTATTGCAACCAAAATAATACAATTTTAACCATACTTGGTAATTTCGATAGTGGATTGGGTAGTTTCAATAGTGAAACGTAAAGCACGAATTTGCAGAATCATTGAAATTTGCTTTGAAATAATCATATCTAGGCTGATTTCGAGTAATAAAATCGCATAATTATCTTAACATATCAAAATTAAAGGTCCAGTCTTTTTGTTTATTCATCATTTGACTTAAAAACATAACCCACCATTACGTGACGACACTTCGTTTGAATATTTTCTGAATCTGACATCTGTGAGTAGTTGTAAAAAAATAAATAAACAGCAGCCGATTTGACAGAAAAAGCAGATTCCGAGATAATACTGTTCTTACCTTATTTAATATTATTATTTTGTCGAGATCGTTAGATAATACCGTTTTCGTTTGAATAACATCTTATTATTTTTTTTATATAGGATCAAACAGTTATGCAAATTTATATGAACATAAAATTGAAACATTAATAAACACATAGTTCCCTACATTACATTTGTTAAATTGGTTGATTGTTAAAAATAATTTAATCTGTTTGTACATTACTGTTATTTAATTATTATTATTGATATTTCAATCTGTACATAACATAATATCGTCATGAATATGGCAGACGGTGTTTTTATGGGTGTAAAAAAGTGGAATTATGATTTAATTTTAAGAAAAGAAAACGTTTTTAATTTTTTGTTTTTGGAATATTTTTGTTGT